GCTGAAGGCAGACACTTAACGACTGAGCCACCCAGGCACCCCATAAACTCTTTTTCTTTAAGCCACTACGTTCTTTGTAGTCTGAGGCCTCTAAACAGTATTTCCTATTTTTTGTGTAAACATTTTATTTTGCTCCTGGAATTCCTTATTTTTGCAGAATGGAAATAATAAAAAAAAAGCCTCATATTAGTCAATGAAACCGTCTGCAAGAATAGCAAATATCCTTTTGTAGGTATGCTTATCTTATATTCCAGTATAAGGAATTAGTTCTGTTTCCATGGTGAGATAATTGAAACTATAACCTGGCTTCTTGGATCACTGAGCTATGTCAGACATCTCCATCTCTAGCTTCCACGTGTTAGGATATCATTTAAATTGTTTTAAATTGCTTTCATAGACCAAAGCAGAATGTGATTAAAGCAAGATAGATGCTTATTTCTTGAGTAAAAGTACAAAACAGTATACAAGAGGATCGAGCAACTGTGTTCTATGAGGTGCTCTTCGGTCTTGTGGTTCTGCCATTCTCGAGTGTATTAGCCTGGGTTAGACTTATTTTTTTCTTCCTTATAAATGACTTGGCACAATTTCTGTATATCCAAAGAATATTTTTCTTTAACTTTAAAGTCTAGTAGTTCTATACGATTTAACATTTCCAGGTGTATATTATATGCCTTTTCAGTATCTGTATTTAAGTGTTTTCTTATTTCAATAAGATTTACTTAAATTTTAATTTAAGTAATTATCCTGCTCCATTACTTTGGTTTTCTTTCTAGAAGACCCAGTTATGCATTTTGGATCTTGTTTGCATATTGCCTTTGTTCTCTATTTCTCTCAAACCATTGCTATTATTTCTGTTTGATTCTCTATACTTTTATCCTTGCTAGCCTCTATTTTCCTTATTGTGTTTTCCACAATGTCTATTCTATCTTGTGTTTCTTTTTCCTGTCTTCATTTCTAAAATGTATTTTTTATAATAATTCTATAATTCTCTCATTTTAGTTTCCTATACCTCTGTTGTCTAATAATCTCATCTCCTTAAAACTTTTTTAACAAAGTATAGCATACATACATACACATACCAGCATGCATACATAAAGGTATGTAAATCATAAGAATATGGCATAATGAATTGTCACAAAGTGAACATACCTGCATCACCACCACCCAGGTTAAGAAATAGAAAATTATCAGTATCTGAGCAGCTATTCCCTTGGAAATCTTTCCAATCATTTGCCCCTCCTCTGGTGCCAAAGGCAACTACTAATGTTAGCCCTAACATCATAGACTAATTTTACCTGTTTGAAAACTTTATTTAGAGGGCATGTGATGTGATGAGCATTGGGTGTTATATGCAACTGATGAACTACTGAACTCTACATCTGAAACTAGTGATGTACTATATGTTGGCTAATTGATTTTAAATAAAAAAAACTTTATTTAAATGGCATCTTAGAGGGGCACCTGGGTGTCTCAGTCAGTTGAGCATCTGCCTTCGACTCAGGTCATGATCGCAGGGTCCTGGGATGGAGCCCTGCCTCAGGCTCCCTGCTTAGCGGGGAGTCTGATTCTCTTTCTCCCTCTGCCTCTCCCCCTGGCTTGTGCTCTCTCTTGCTCACTCTCCCTCTCTCAAATAAATAAATAAAATCTTAAAAAAAAAAAAAATAAATGACATCTTAGAGTATCTATTAATTTGGTCAACATTGTATTTTTGAGGTTAACTCATATTGCCAGGTATAGACATGGTTCATTTTAATTCCTGTTTTGCATTCAGTTGTAGGAATAAATCACAATTTATCCATCTGTTCTTTGTTAATGGTCATTTGGATGGTTTCCAAATTCAGGTTATTGTGGTATATTGAGATTTTGTTCAGGAGTTCTTCATTTCTCTGGCTGCCCCCTCCATGGGAAGCATAGATCTCCCTGCCCCCTTCATGTTGTACTTGGCCTGCACTGTGGAAACTCTTGTTTTGCAGTCATAGTGCGTTCTGGGGTCTGCTCCTTCTGGGCCCCATTCTCCCTACTGCCTGAATGTTGTCTCTCCCTCCCGCTGAGTGTTCCTGCCTTAATCAGTGTGGATTCTCGTCAAGCAGCTTATCTCATAGTGAGGCTCTACCATTCCAGATAGGATTGTTGGCTGCCTATTTCTGAAATTGTGAAGAGTTTAAACCCGTATTGTCCAATATGGTTGCTGCTAGCCACAGTTAGCTAGGGGACACTTGAAATGTGACTAGTCTGAATTTAGGTGTGTTTTAAGTGTAAAGTAGACACTGGATTTTAAAGGTTTGATATTTAAAAAATGTAAAATGTTATTAATTTTTTACGTTAACTACATGTTGAATGATAATATTTTGGATACACTGGGTTAAGCAAAGTATATCAGGAAAATTTCCCTTTTGCTTTATTTAAATGCAGCTACTACAAAATTTAAAATTATACACATATTGCTCACCTCATTATTTCTGTTGGTTTAAACTGTCAACAGTATTGTGTTTGGATCTCTTAGTTATCTGTAACTTTAAAAGAGATACTTTTTCAGATTATAAAAATAATTTATGACTATAGAAAATTTGGAAAACGTAGAAACCTTGTGAAGATAGACTTAGAACTTACTCAGAATCCTAACATCTGGAGATATTAGTAACACAATAGCATATTACTTCCCAGGCTTTTACTTTTTTTTTTTTTTTTTATGATTTATTTATTTGTTTTAGAGAGAGAGCACGGCGGGGCAGGGCAGAGGGAGAGGGAGAGAGAGTCTCCAGCCGACTCCGAGCTGAGTGCAGAGCCCCTTGTGGGGCTCGATCCCACGACCCTGAGATCAAGATCACAACCTGAGCTGAAACCAAGAGTTGATGCTTAACTGACTGTGCCACTCAGGTGCCCCCAGGCTTTTACTTTTTCTACAAGTATATATATATATATATATATATATTTTTTTTTTTTTTAAAGATTTTATTTATTTGACAGAGAGAGACACAGCGAGAGAGAGAACACAAGCAGGGGGAGTGGGAGAGGGAGAAGCAGGCTTCCCGCGGAGCAGGGAGCCCGATGCAGGGCTCGATCCCAGGACCCTGGGATCATGACCTGAGCTGAAGGCAGACACTTAACGACTGAGCCACCCAGGCGCCCCAGTCTACAAGTATATTTTGACCAGAGATACACCAAGTATACATTTGGCTGAGTAACAATGGGTTGAGTCTTTTTTTTTTTTTAATTAAATTTTTTTTTTTTTCTTTTTAAGATTTTATTTATTTGCAAGAGAGAGAATGAGAGACAGAGAGCATGAGAGGGAGGAGGGTCAGAGGGAGAAGCAGACTCCCTGCTGAGCAGGGAGCCCGACGCGGGACTCGATCCCGGGACTCCGGGATCATGACCTGAGCCGAAGGCAGTCGCTCAACCAACTGAGCCACCCAGGTGCCCTGGGTTGAGTCTTAATATTAGTATGTGACTGTATATCATGATCATAGAATGAAGTTTTGGGATATTTTAGTTCTGGGATATTTTAGATTCATTCTTATGAAACTAAAATGTAAAAATTTGTTAAAATTGTTACAAAGATTAGTAACAGACTTCATGTGTTGGCATTGTAGTGCCAGAATAATAATTTCTTAACCCTGTTAGGTGCTAGCTTGCTCTTGAGGTCTCTGTAAGTATAATGTATGTTTACACTACTGAATCAGATGCCTGTTTTTAGCAGAGTTCAGTGATGCTGCAACATCTTGCTGGTACCTGATTTTTCTCAAATACTTCTTTTTATGTCCTCTATTATGTGTTTCATGTTCTTTTCTTCCTTATGAAATCCTGAAATGCCAAACTGATGCTGTGCCCTAATTCATCTTCATGAGGTAGAATGAATTCCCAAATAGGACTTTTTCTTGAAAGGTTCATGACCTAAATGGAATTAAATAACTACAAACCAAGACAGGTCTTCATTTTTTTAACATAATGAATACTGCGACACCAAACTGGAAAGGTTAGAATTATGATATAATCCAGTCCCCATTATTCTGCTCGTATTTTTATTAAATTTTCTGTAAATAATTGTTGTCCTAGAAAGTAGACACTCATGTCCCTAAAGTTACTTAGCTAACGTGCTCTCTTGTTCTTGTGTTAACTGTCCATCTATTTTCTATTTCACATTTGAAATTTCTTAATTGTTTTTATTCAGTGATCAGTAACTTCCAAAATCATCATTAAGGCGATATTTTACTCAGAATAATAAATACACATTTATACTTTGACTGGCTTTTCTTAAATAATGGAATAAGGGAGGGGCTCTCAACCTCTGTACTTTTGATATTTTCACTGGCTAATTCTTTGTGGTGAGGACCTGCCCAGTGCATTGTAGGAGGACAGTAGCAAGTCCTGCTTGGCCCCGCCTTCTCCACCAGGCAGAAGCACCAGGGTTAAGGACCACCACTGCTTTGGGATGATAATTTGTAGTTTACCCAAGGAAGTTTCTTCTTTTTATTCAAGAAGTAACTCTCTGGGTTTTTGTTGTTGACTTTTTGTTTTTGCCTGGGAATAAATACCCAGCTGTCTTTCTCTCTCTCTACTTAGGGGTAGGTATATAATAGACTCATTAGTCTTATTTTTGGCTTCCTTCATACTCCTTTCTTCTGTTCTGAGCTCTCAACTTCCTCTGCGAAGTCTGAATACTCTCTCCATCTCATTCATCTCCTGGAGTGTTCCAGGCTGTGGCCTCCTCTGCTATCTCTGTCAACGTGCTTCCATCCATTTTATGGTTTCTAGAAACAAATCTCCCATCCACTGGTGATCTTCCTTCCTATTCTGTGTGTGGGTATAGGCTTATCACATTTTATGGGCATCCTTAGACACAAGAATGGGAAGCAAAAGCTTCTAGTTGGTGTGACATCTACCCACAAGCTGCCCATTGTTTTAAAATAGAAAACACTGGTGAAGACATGTTTTTATTCACTCAACAAATAGAAATAAGTGGCGTGTTCTGCCTTTTCCCATTTCCACCCTTTCTTTTCTAGAGCTCATTATCCTGGGACCCACATAGTAAAGGATGCGAAGCTGACTAAGAAGAAGCTTTGGTCTTCTGAAGATTTTAGCACTGTAAATAGTGATGTGGGTGCAGGCTGCTTGGGCCGCATATTGAATCAGAATTATATCAATGGCTACATGACTGCGTAAGTTATTGAAAACCTTTAAAGGTTTTTATTTTGAAAAATTTCAGAAACACAATAAGAAAAAAGTACAACTGGCTTCCATATTCTCTCAGTCTAGATTCGATGACTGTAAACATTTTGCCTTATTAGCTTCATCTGTACCTACATCTACACCTAAGCTTATCTATTTTTTTATATTTGAATATCATCTATATTGAATAAAGTCAGGCTTATTGAGATATAATTTATTTATAGTAAAATTTATGCAGTTCTGTGATTTTTGATAAGTTATGTATACCTTTTAATGAACAGTTATAAATTATAGATGTCGTAATACTTCACCCCTAAATATTTTAGCATGTGTTACCAAAACAAAGGATATTCTCCTACATGAGCTACTCAGGTGCCCCAGAACACAACTCTTTTTATTTCTCAGGGAAGCATTTCTTAAATGCTCTGAGAAGCTTTAACTGTAATTAGATTCAAATTTGCTTTCTAAAACAATAATAAATAGAACAAAAGTAAGCCAATACTTATTTTTGTGATGTTAATGTGAGCTGATATATTCTTTTTATAGCTTTTGCTCTTTTTCTTTTCTTTTTAAAAGAAAAGATGCTTATCATGGAGAGTTTGGTTCTAGGAACTTAATTTGGTGTTAAGAGTAATGCATGCTCATGACAGAGAATTTAGTAACTGCATATCAGTACAAAGAAGGATACAAGATCACCCATATTTTTGCCATCTAGAGGTAACCATCCTTAAATATGTTGGTGTATGTCCTCCCATTTATGTTTATATGTATAAAATTTTAATGTAGAGATAAGATCATACTATATAATGTTTAGTAAAGAAGGTGCTTTTCACTCAACAAGGCATTATGAACTTCTTTCCATATTTAAGCATGCTTCTATTTCATAATTTTTAATGCTTATGCATATTCTGTTACGTAGAACATGGTTTCCCAAACTTGCCTTGTCTCAAGAAGCACCCGAGACAGTTGTTATATTGATTCCTAGATCTGCTGAATCATAATCTCTCCAGAAGACTTTGGAGACTCTGTCGGTGTCATCAGTACCCCAGTTGACTCTGATGCCCCACAAGTTTGGGAAGCATTGATGTAGAAAATAGACCTCATTGAATGTTCTTCTCTTCCAGAAATGGAAGTTGTTTCTATTTTAAGTTAACAGCTTTGTACACATTGAAGTGATCAGTTGTATGCAGATATCTTTGTACACATCTATAATTATTTCCTTAGGGTATATTCTTAGAAGGGGAATAAATATCTGGGTCAGAGGTATATAAATTTTTTAAAAAAGATTTTATTTATTTATCTGACAGAGAGAGACAGAGAGGGAACACCAGCAGGGGGAGTGGGTGAGGGAGAAGCAGGCAGAGGTATATAGATTTTAAAGACTTTTGTGTATATCACAAAATGCTCGTCGGGTAGTTTTTGGTTTGTACATCAATCACTAGCCAGAGAAGATACTGTGCATCTTGTAATTCAGGGGTAAAATCATGGGAACTCTTAAAGTTTTCACTGGTAGTAAGGATTTTTGAAAGTTGGACCTATTATTTCTACTTTGTGTTGACAGAATTAGAAGGCTTTGATTTCCTAAGAAAGTCATTTTATGATGAGTGAGGACTTGGTAAGAAAAAATGAAATTCTGTGGGTAAGCTCTGGGTTTTTTATTGTTGTTATTTTTTTGTTGTTGTTTTGTTTTGTTTTTAACATTTTTATTTATTTTTTTAAGATTTTATTTATTTGTCAGAGAGAGAGAGAGAGAGCACAAGCAGAGGGAGCGTCAGGCAGAGGGAGCGTCAGGCAGAGGGAGAAGCAGGCTCCCTGCTGAACAAGGAGCCCAATGCAGGACCCGATCCCAGGACCCTGGGAGCATGACCTGAGCCGAAGGCAGATGCTTAACCGACTGAGCCATCTAGGCATCCCTGTTATTTTTTTTGAGCTGTGAGAAACCCAGCAGTACCGGGGCCAGAGCTTCCCTTTTCCCCTTGGATTTTCCTGAAAACCACAGAGTCACTATTTCAGGGTGCAGTACCAGCTGTAGAATTCTGAAAGAATGGGCCAAAATGCAGACCAGCAAGCTGACCCACTAGTACTTGCAGATGAGACAGAATCATCGCAGTTTTAGACCCCAAACCTTGTTCTAGACTTTACAGGCATTGGTACAGCAATCACGTGAGCTAGGTACAGTTATTATCCTCGTTTTACAGATGAGGAAACTGAGGTCCAGAGAGGGTAAGTGGTGGAATCATGATTTGAACCCAGGCAGTCTGACTCTTAAAGAGTTCTCAGTTGTAAAACTTTGCCGCAGCTCAGAGTCAAGTTCATAAAATTATGTCATGAAACTGGGACGTTAAGAAGGCCAACTGTCAAAGGGAAAGCAGGTATGGATAAAGCCTTTATTTGTATTTGTCTCATATCTGTGACATGTCTGGTACTGGTAGGGCATGATTCTTCTTCTGGCTCTACCACCGTTCAGCAAAAATTATATACCCCATATACATTTGTGTTTTTTAATTATGCAATTCACCATCAAAAATAACTAGATGGATCCAGCGCTGGAGTTTTCAAATGTGAATGAACTTAGGTGACTTATATTTTCTTGTTTTGGGTGGTCATTTTTTGGTCCTTCACATATATTTATATAAATTCTAATAAAGTTTTTTTTACTACAGTCTTCTAGGCATTTACATTTTGATCACAGCTGTTTTGGCATTTCTCTTTTATCAAACCAACCTTTTAGCACAATTGCTTGGAATTTGGTGGCTAGTTACTATGAACAGTTGCCTTATGGACGATGTGGATTGATGACTGCTCAGGAGCCATGGAGTGGGCACTATGTAGTAGAGTCTCCTATCTGGGTATCAGGTATGGTTCACATTCCATCTCTCATGCCTCAGATTTCTCTCTAGGAGAAAAAGCAGAAAACAGAAGGGATTACACAAATTTGTGTGTGTGTGTGTATGTGTGCGCGTGCACGCGCATGTATGTGCGTGTCGTGTGTAAGTTCTAAGTTTGTGTCTCTGTTGTAAGCAGGATTTGCCATACTGTTGTATAAGAGCCTTTTGGATTACTAGACTACTTTTTGTATTCCATTCTTGGTTATCCTAAGACCAGGCTCTTAGAAAAGAAAAGGAAAGGGAGGAGAGAGGAGGGAAAAGGATTATCATCTGGTGATGGAAACAAATACATGAAATAGTTGATAAATGTATAATTATAAATTATGATAATTGCTAATAAAATGATGTATTTGTAAAGATTATTACAATTCAAGAGCATCTAAAGTCTTAAAACTAGTCTTGGAGATGTTTTATTGTTTTATACTAGTATAGTTATGTTGATGAGAATAGAGTGCTAACAAAATCAAATGAATTATTAAATGAATAAGTAAATGTAAAAGCTATGTGAGATATTGTGGCTTTATACTGTTGAGTATTGTTACAGATAATTTTAAGAAAAATGGAAAATCATGACTGTCACGCACATAAAAATGAACATATGTTAAAGATTTTATACTACTCGTGATAAGTGGGAACTAGGCAGATGAATCAATTCAAAGGAAAAGTCAAAACAGTATACATTTATTTAGAATAAAAGAATTTGAGATAAATTGCAAATGGAGACATTTTGGGTTTCCCATAGCATGGAAGAGAGGAAATCAACTAAGTCCTTACCAGATAGGAGATAATTTACACATCCATCAGTTACCTATAATTTACAGAGTTTCAAAATAGTTTAAAGACAATCGAGAGGGCTGTAGGAACAAAATTTTTGTTACACTATCAGTTTTTAGTCACAAGGGACATTGAGATCATGCGGACAGTGGATGACACTGTACCACTTTTTCATGAATAATGTAACCATACTAAAAATAAATATAATTTAAACAGAATAAAAATCCTATTGTCAAATAATATTCAAGTTCTTTCTATAATTTTTGGTAAAAAATTAAACATTTATGATCGTTTTGTTTTAACATCATAATTACAGTCTTTTAAAAAAATCCATTTCTTCAAAGGCAGGATGCTTTCCTAGGAAAATTCTGAATATGAACATAGTGAAGTTTTAATTTTAAACCTTTATTTTGGGGATTTTATTTTTTATTTGATGTGTTTTCCTCAGAGAGATTTGTAGTCATGATGTTAGTCATGAAATTATGACATTATTCTAAACTCTAAATTGTACTTTCAAAAATATATTTGTATGTCCTCGTGGGTTAACCACTTAAATGTTTTAATCATTGGTCCCGCATTATCTAGGTCAACTACTCTTCTAATATTGTTGCTATGTTTTGGGGGTAGGATGGGACATGGAATATTGCTCAGTACATTTTCAGGGCCAGCTTTGGAGGTACCCAATAAACATATATTCTGCAAATAAAACTTGTTCGAAACCATAAAACTTAATTTTTGATATGCAATATTAACTATTTTTTATTCTTATTTTTTGCAGTTATATTAGGATGGGTTAAATAGAGAGGAGCAAAGGTTCAGAAGAGATAACTTTATCTTACCTTGGGAAAAAAAACCCTTTATACTCTTGAATTAATAGTGTGGTTCATTTATTTTTAACAATAATTCTAACTATAGTTATTCTTACTACAATTGTACCATTTAACTGAACTAATTATTCAAAAGTTGAAACATGAGGTTGGCAAGTATTTGCGTCTAAAATAGAAAACAGCTTGTTAGGTTCGATCAGACTCAAGCCAGTAGACAGCTTTATTTTTTAACTTTTTAAAGAAACCCTTCCATCACTATTTTATTGGATCTTTCTCTGCTTTTCTATAGCTCATACCACGCAGTTTACTCAACCAGGTTGGTATTACCTGAAGACAGTTGGTCACTTAGAGAAAGGAGGAAGCTACGTGGCTCTGACTGATGGCCTAGGTAACCTCACCATCATCGTTGAAACTATGGTAATTCTTTGTTGTTTTTTATGGAATTAACTCATTCTCTTAGTATTGGAAAAACAGTAGAAAACACAACTAAACACTTCCTTTTTTAAAAAACCCCAGCTTTACCAAAGTATAATTGACATAAATAACATGTAGGGGAGGAAGAAACTTCTTCCTATTAGGTTCAGAAACTGAGGCCCCACAAATTAAACTGACAAAAAATCCCAGATTCACAGGAGAAAAGAAAAGTTTATTTGTGTAAGCAACATGCATACACGTGGGAGATGCCCAGTGATGAGTAACTCTGAGGGGTGGTTATAATTTGGGTTTATATACCTAGAGTAGTAAGTGATGGAGAAAGGGGAGAAGGGCACTTAATGGAAAATAAATGACTTTTTGGGAAGATAAATGGGTTTTCAGGAGAACAAACAGGAATGATTGTGACACTGTGTGTCTATCCTGGAGAGTGGTCTTTCCCTCTCCTTCAGGGCTGTAATTTACAGTCCTCTGTAGAAGGGATTTGGGGTAGGTTTTATTCCCATTTTTCCGTTCTGGGAGTAAATCCATTCTAAAGAGTAGATCCATTTGTGGCAGTCTTATTTTCCAGAACTTGCTGCTCTGAGTAAGCTAAGGGAAACTCAGAGAAGACTTTTTCCTGGCATCTTTTGAATCTCAAATACCTTCAACTTTAAATAATCTTTATACCAAAGTAGCCTATTTTTTGGTGGCATATTCTGATCCCCTTCAAACACATACTTAAAGTGCACAATTTTACAACTTTTAATAGGTAAATCCTCAATAAACCATTGTCACAATCAAGATAGTGAATGTATCTATGGGCCCCCAAAAGAACACTCATGTCCCTTGTTAAATATTCCCTCTGTCCTACTCCTCCTCATATCCTGTGAGTTCCCTGATCATTATTTTTTGTCACTATAGATTAGTTTGCATTTTCTAGAGTTTTGTATCCATGGAATCAGTATGGAATCATAACAGTATGTACTGTTTTTTGTCTTGCTGCTTTCACTCAGGGTAATTATTCTGAGATTCATCCATGTTGTGATATACCTACTGCTAAGTTGTATTCCATTGTGAGGACATACCATAGTTTGTTTATCTATGCACTTGTTGATGGATGTTTGGCTTGTTTCTACTTTCTGGCTGTTACATGTAAAGCTATGAACATTTGTGCACAGATTTTATATGGGTATATATTTCTTTTCTCTTTGGTAAATACATAGAAATGGAATGGCTGGGTAATATGATATGCTTCTGTTTAGCTTTTTAGGAAGCTGCCAAACTATTCTCCAAAGTGGTTGTGCTGTTTTAAATTTCCATCAGCAGCATAATTGGAGTTCCAGTTTTTCTTTATCATTATGAACACTTGCTGTGATCAGTTATAAAAAATTTTAGCTCTTAGTATGTATGATATAGTACTTTATTTTGGTTTTAGTTTGCATTTCCCTAATGACTGATGATGTTGAACTTTTCATGTGCTTGGGCTTCATGTATCTTCTTTGGTGAAGTGTGTGTTAAGTCTTTTGCCTATTTTTTGTTGGCTTTTTCTTATTGTTGGATTTTGAGAGTTCTTTACATATTACATATTCTGGGTCCAAGTCCTATACAGATATGTGCTTTGTAAAGATAATTTCCCAGTCTGTAGCTTTTCATTTTGTTAACAGTGTCTTTGGAGGAACAGGAGTTTTTAATTTTTATGAAGTCCAGTTTATTCATTTGTACTTTCACGGAACATGCTCTTGCTATGGTATCTAAGAAGTTTTTGCCTGTGGGTATCCATCTGTTCTACCACCATTTGCTGGAAAGTCTATTTTTCCCATTGCATTGCCTTTGCACTTTTGTAGAAAATCAGTTATCCATGTATATGTAGGATTATTTCTGGACTCTATTCTGTTTCTTTGACCTATTTATGTATCTTTACACCAATACTATGATTACTGTGTGCATATGTTTATAAAACAATTCCTAGAAATAGGTAGTGTTAGCCCTTCAAGTTTGTTCTTTTTCAAAGTTGTTTTGGCTCTTCTAGGTCACTTGTAGTTCCATGTAAATTTTAGACTCAGCTTGTCAGTTTCACCCCCCAAAAAAGAGAAAAGCCTGCTCAGATTTTGATTGGGATTGCCTTGCATCTATAGATCAATTTAAGGAGAATTAATATTTGAACAACATCAAGTCTTCCAGCCCTTTAACAAGACATATCCTCAAGTTTATTTAGGTTTTAATTTCTCTGAATAGTATTTTATAGTTTTCAGTGTACAGGTATTTCATATCTTTTACCAAATTTTGGCTAAGTATTTCACATTTTCAATTTTATTATAAATATTAGTTTTTAAATTTTTAATTCAAGTAGTACCTAGTACATAGTAATACAGTAGATTTTTGTATGAAGATCTTGTTTTCTGTAACATCACTAAACTCACTTATAGTTCCAGTAGCTTTTTTTGGGGATTCCATTGGATTTTCTTTGTAAATGATCAGCAAGTAGAAATAATTTTACATCCTCCTGACCAACAATTGTTATTGCCTGTGCCTTTGTTATAGCCATTTTGGAGGTGTGAAGTGGGATCTTATTTCAGTTTTGATTTGTATATTCCTAGTGACTGAGGGTGTTGGGCATCCTTCATGTGTATATTGGCCATCTGGATTTCTTCTTTGGAGAAATGACCCTATAGACCCTTTGCCCATTTTTAAATTGAGATGTTTGTCTTTTTATTATTGAAATATAAGAGTTCTTCACATATTCTAGATAAAAGTTCCTTATCAGATATAGGACTTGTAGACATTTTCTCCCATTCTGTGGGTTGTTTTCCACTTCCTTTTTTATTTTTATTATTTTTTTAAAGACTTTTATTTATTTTTTTGACAGAGAGAGACACAGCGAGAGAGGGAACACAAGCGGGGGGAGTGGGAGAGGGAGAAGCAGGCTTCCCTCTGAGCAGGGAGCCCGATGCGGGGCTCGATCCCAGGACCCTGGGATCATGACCTGAGCTGAAGGCAGACACTTTAACGACTGAGCCACCCTGGCGCCCCTCCACTTCCTTTTTTAAAATTTAAACTTAACTTAAAAAAATTACAGTATAGTTGACATACAACATTATATTAGTTGTTTTTCCCTTTTTAATGATGCCCTTTCAGGTACAAAAGTTTTAAATTTTGATGAAGTCGAATATATATATTTTTCTGTGTGTTTTTGTGTCATATTTAAGAAATTATGCTTAATCCAAGGTCATGATCCATTGGGCCTTTGATCCATTTTATTTTTTTAATAGAGGGTTAGATATGTATCCAACTTCATCATTTACAGGTGGATATCATTTAATTGTTTCTGCACCATTTGTTGACTGTTCATTCCTTATTGAATTGTCTTGGCTCCCTTGTTGAAAATCAATTGGCAATAAATGTGAGGGGTTTTTTTGGACTCTCAGTTCTGTTGCATTGACCTATAGATCTCTCCTTATGGGAGCATTATGCTGTCTTAATTACTATAGCTCTATAATATGTTTCGAAGTTAGGAAGCATGAGTCCTCCAACTTTGTTAGTTTTCAACACTGTGTGGCTATTAGGGGTCCCTTGCATTTCCATAGAAATTTTAGGATCAGTTTGTCAATTTCTGCAATGAGGCCAGTTTGGATTTTGACAGAGATTACATTTAATCTGTAGATCATTTGGGTAGTATTGCCATTATAACAATATCAAATTTTCCAGTGCGTGAACATGGATACCTTTTCATATATTTACATTTTTACTTCTTTTAAAGGTGTTTATATAGTTTGCAGGGTATAAGTCATGCACTTCTTTTTGTTACAGTTATTATTTCTGAGTATTATTTTGGTGTAACTGTAAGTGAATTGTGTTCTTAATATCATTTTTAGATTTTTCATTGCTAGTGTATAGAAATACAATTGATTTTTACATATTGATCTTGTATCCCACAAGCTTTCTGTACTTCTTTCTTAGTTCTAATAGTTTTTTAATTGCTTCTTAGAGGATTTTCTATCTACAAGATATGACAAGATTATGTCATCTGCAAATAGAGATAGTTTGCTTCTTTCTTTTCAATGTAGATATCTTTCATTTTTTCCCTTAATTGTCCTTTAGTAATATTGAATAGAAATGGTGAGAATGTACATTCTTATCCTGTACCTGATCTTAGGGGAAACACTTCCAGTCTTAAGTGTAATGTTAGCTGTGGTTTTTTGGTAAATATTTTTTATAAGGTTAAAGAACTTCCCTTCTATTCCTAGTTTGTGGAGTGCTTTTATTATGAAAGGGTATTGGATTTTATCAAATCCTTTCTGGATCTATTGAGGTGATCATGTGGTTTTTGTTTTTTATTTTATTGATATGGTGTATTACATTGATGGAATTTTGTCTGCTAAACTAGCTTTGCATTTCTGGGATAAATTCCACTTCATCATCATGTATAATCTTCCTGTTTGTTGCTGGATTTGATTTGCTAGTATTTTGTTGAGGATTTTTGTGTCCAAATTCATAAGAAATACTGGTATGTAGTTTTCTTGTAATATCTTTGTTTTTTTTATATTTTATTTTATTTAAATTCAATTAGCCAACATATAGTACATCATTAGTTTTGATATAATGTTCAATGATTCATTAGTTGCATATAACACCCAGTGCTCATCACATCACGTGCCCATCACCAGTTACCAGTTACCCCATCCCCCCACCCACCTTCCTTTTTGCAACCCTCAGTTTGTTTCCCAGAGTCAAGAGTCTCTCATGGTTTGTCTCCCTCTCTGATTTCTGCCCATTCAGTTTTCCCTCCCTTCCCCTATTGTCCTCTGCATTATTACTTATATTCCACATATGAGTGAAATCATATGATAATTGTCTTTCTCTGATTTCTCTTACTTCACTCAATAAATAAATAAATAAATAAAATAAATAAACTCATAAACTGAGTAGGGAAATGTTCCTTCCTCTTATGTTGTTTAAGATAAGTTGTGAAGGATTGGTATTAATTCTTTATTATGTGTGGTAGAATTCATCAGTGAAGCTATCTGATTTTGCAGTTTTCCTGCAAGAAAGTTTTGGTTTATGGACTCAATCTCTTCTTATAGGTCTATTCAGGTTTTATGTTACTTTTTGAGTCAGCTTTGGTAGTTTGTGTTTTTCAGAGAATTTGTCTCTTTTACCTATGTTACCTAATTTGTTTGCATGTGTTTGTGATAGTATTCCCTTACATATTGCCTTTTAACTTCTGTAAGGTTGGTAGAAATGTTCCTCTTTCATTCCTGATTTTAGTAATTTGTCTTTCCTTTTTTTCTTGGTTAGAAAACCTAAAGGTTTGTCAATTTTGGTCATCTTTTCAAATAAACAACTTTTGTTGATTTTTCTCTGTTTTCTTCTTTATTTCAGTAATTTCCACTCTAATCTTTATTCCTTTCTGTTAACTTTGAATTTAGTTTGCTCTTTAAAGATTGTAGGTAGAAGAAGGTTATTTTTTGAGGTATTTCTTTCTTTAAATTTTTTATTTAAATTCAATTTAGTTAATATATAGTGTATTATTCGCTTCAGGAGTGGAATTTAGTGATTCATCTGTTGCATATAACACCCAGTGCTCATTACATCAAGTGCCCTCCTAGATGCCCATCACGCAGTTACCCCATCCTCCTCTCCCTTTGCCTGCCACTTCCCCTGCTTGTGCTGTCTGTCAAATAAATAAAATCTTAAAAAAAAAAAAAGAAACATTTTTCCTATATAGCTCTATTCTCTTTCCTCCTTTTTGTTGTTATTATATTTATCAAACCTCTATCTACTGTAAGCCTAATGAGACCTGTTTTAATTACAGCTTAATATATAATTTCAAGTCTTTTAAAAAATTTGAGAGAATAAAGGAGAGAAATTATATATTTATAATATTTATGTTAATCTTACCATTTTTGATTGTTTTTATTTATTCCTGTGGATTTGAGTTATTGTCTGGTGGTATTTCCTTATTCTAATAGTTTTTTCCTCACCTGGCTACTTTGTGCTATTGTTGGCAGTTACAGCACATTTCTATATTTTGTAAGCCCAACAGTATGACTATATACATAGTATTTTATGCAGTTGCTTTTAAAAATCAGTTTATGGGAAGAAAGAAGAAATAGGCATTTTTACTGTCTTTTATAATTACATAATTATCTTTGCCTATACTTTTTGTTTGTGGATTTGAATTATGGGGTGTGATCCTTTACTTTTAGCTTGAAATTCTTATTTTAATATTTTATGAAAGTTGTGTCTGGTATCAACACATTCTTTCAGTTTTTGTTTATGTGGAAATGTATTTTGCCTTCATTTTGTGAAAGATAATTTTGCTGGATATAGGATTCTTGATTGACAGTGGGTTTTTTTTGTTTTTTTTTTTTGAGCATTTTGAATGTGTTAATTTTTGTTGTTTCTGATGATGAATCAACTTTTAATCTTACTGAAGGTCCCTTGTTTCTCTCTTAGTAACACCTCTGATTTAGGAACACAGGGTGATGGGTGGAGGTTGGGGACTCCAGTATTCTCAGTATTCCAAGGTGAACCCATGAATGGGAGCTGGGCAGAGCAAGGGAGCCCTCAGCTCCCTTGCTGCTAATTAGCCTTGGACTCAAATATCTGAGGGGGTGGGTGGTGAGAAATGCTGAAATCCTGCTTCTCCCAGTAAACTACTGTAGCCTTCAGCTGCGAGTTGGGAGGAGGGAGCCCTGTGTTTTTGGCTGCACCTACTTGGCATGCAGTTTCTTCTGTTTGGCTAAGAGAGACAGGGGATGGATAGATCGTGGTGTAAATGCCACAGGCTCTTGCTCTTTTTACTGAGTTTTTGTACATTTTCTTGAATAAATGTTTATTTGTTGCATGGCCTTAGGATCATTGCCATTTTTTTAAAAGATTATTTATTTGAGACAGAGAGAGAGGATGTTGGGGGAGGAACAGAGGGATAGGGATAGGGATAGAGAAAGAATCTCAGGCAAACTCTGCGTCGAGCATGGAGCCCAGTGTGGGGACTTGATCTCAGGACGCTGAGATCATGACCTGAACCAAAACCAAGAGTTGGTTGCCTAACTGACTGAGCCACCAAGGCACCCTAGGTCATTTCCATTTTTAAAAAATATTTTTCACCAGTTTTGAGGGGCACAGCTTCATGGAGCTCCTCACATCGTCATTCTGGAAGTACAACTCTGCTTTAGTTTTTTTAGATGTGGTTTCCTTTGAACATATTTAAATACCCGATTTAATGTCTTTTGTCTAGTAAGTCTAATATGTGGCCAGTAATGCCTGAGCTTTGTCAGACGTGGTTTCTGTTGACTGCTTTTATTCCTGTGTATGGGCCACTCTCCTGTTTTGTTGTTGTTGTTTGTTTTGTTTTGCAAATCTCATAATTATTTGTTGAAAACTAGACATATTACATAATGTATTGTGGCAGCTCTGGAGGTCAGATTTCTCCCATCTAGCATTTGTGGTTGTTACCCTTTATTGTTGTTGCTATTTATTTGCTTAGTGACTTTCTTGAGCAAATTCTGTACTTTGTCAGCTTTATTATATGTAGCCACTGAAGCCTCTGCTTAGTTACCTTAGTGGTCAGCTCATGACTGTACAGAGGTTTCCTTATGTTTGGAACTGGCAAGTCTCCTGGCCTTGGCCGATGGGCTGTGTGTGCATGGGCTCCGTGTCAGTGCTCAAGTAGGCAGGGCACAACCTGGTAGTAGCTTTACTTTATGTTTGAGCAAAGCTTCAAGGTCGACCTGAATTTCCCAGTACAGCCATCGGGCCTATTTGGGTTATCCATATCTTCTTCAGTGAACTTTGGGTTTTTGTGTCTTTTTTTTTTTTTTTTAGAGTGGGGTCGACGGGAATGGGACAGAGGGAGAGGGAGAATCCCAAGTAGGTGCCATACCCAGTGTGGAGCCTGATATGGGGCTCAGTCTCACAACCCTGAGATCATGACCTGAGCTGAAATCAAGAATCAGATGCATAACTGATTGAGCCACCCAGGTGCCCCTGGTTTTTGTGTCTTTCAAGAATTTTTTCTGTTTCATTCAAGTTGTTCCATTTCTGGACATAAAGTTATTGGTGTTATTCCCTATTATTCCACTAATATCTCTGTAATTTGTACTGATGTCACCTTTCTTACTGTTGACAGTGGCAAGTTGTATTTTCTTTCTTCTAGCCTGATTTCCTGATTAGTCTAGCTAGAAGTTTATCAATGTTATTGATCTTCTCAAAGAATCAGCTTGTGGTTTCTTGATTATTCTCTCATTTTTCTGAGTTTTGTTTAATTGATTTCTTCTTTGATCTTTATTGTTTTCATTCTGCTTACTTTGGTTTTAAATTTGCTCTTCTTGTCTTACTCTCTCCAGGTGGAAGCTGAAGTCTCACATCCTTCTTCTCTAATCGGTGTTCAGTGCTATAAATTTGCTCCTAAATACTGCTTTCGTGGCATCCCACAAATCGTACATTGTATTTTTATTTTGATACAGCTCAAAATTCTTTCTCATTTCCCTTTTTATTTCTATTTTTTCTTTGAGCCATGGATTATTTAGAAACTTGTTATTTAGTTTCTAAATATTTTGGAATTTTTCTAGAGGTTTTTCTATTATTTATCTCTGATTTAATTATCTTGTGGTCAGAGGACATACATTGTGTGATTTGAATCTTTTTGAATGTATTGAAAGTTCTTTTATGGCTAAGAATATAGTGTTCCTTGGTGAATGTTGCTTGTGCACTTGAAAAGAATGTGCATCTGCTGTTGCTGGGTGAGGTGATCTATAGATGTCAATCCAGGCAAGCTATGTGGTGGCATAGTGCAAATCGCCTCTGTCCTTGTTGATTTTCTGTCTAGTTGTACATCATTTACTGAGGATGAAGTATTGGAATCCCTAACTACAATTGTAATTTTTTTAGTGTCCACGAAGCCTGGCCCAGAACCTTTCACTTAAGTGCTCTGGGATCATTGTATCCCCTGAAGTAGGGATTATGTCTCATAATTCTTTTGATCCCAGTCAATAGTAGTGACTATTTAGTAAAAAATGATGTTGTCAATGTGAGAACTATTTGTTATATGTACTTACTGACTAGTTGATATGAAGGTTATATTTAGATGAGATGCCTTTTCAGTGAAAACATACAAGCATTTGCATTTTATTTGATGTGTTTTACTTGGAAAAGAATTATAATATAAAAATTAATCTGTGTGCCACCAGATGACTCTGTAGGTTAGTCATGAATTCAGTTTAATTCAGTCAAAATGCCATTGAACTTTACTTTGACTAGGCAACCACAGTAGACTTTCAATGCAGGTTATATTAGGAAAAAAGTCTTTAAAAATTTGAAATAAACTCTTATTTGTCACCTAATATGTGCCATTTCTGTTAATCTTGGGGCATTAAATGTTTAATTTTCTTTTCCTAAGGTGGCTTGTATATCATTTGGATAACTTACATGATTTTTTTTTCTCCTAGAGCCATAAACATTCTAAGTGTATACGGCCGTTTCTGCCTTACTTCAATGTGTCACATCAGTTTGCTACCTTTGTTCTTAAAGGTTCTTTTGTAAGTAAATATGTGGGACTTTTATTTTGGTTTTCATTTGAGAAGTTATGTATTTTGTCACAGACTAGCAGTTTATAAGTGAAGTCTTCTATTAGGAGCTATAAAGTATTTGCATATAAAGGGATATAGGCACTGGTGTCTTCTAAATGCTGACTGGTCTTAGTCAAACAGTACAGAAGCCACTAGGAGGCAAAACTGTGTGGCTAAAACTCTCCTGGGCTTTGAAGAACACTTAACAAAAGTCAGTTTGTAACAAAGGTGTTCTTGTTGGTAGAAGAAGCATCAGATATGTAGTCTAGGGAACTTTCAAGAATTTATCTTTTCAGTACTCTGTACAGAAAAACCAACAACATAAAAAGACACCAGATTCTTGCTGTTTCTACCTATTGTTAGTTTTGAACACAGAAAATACAGTGCCTTTTCTGACTACCAATTTCTACTACTAATTTCTGACTACAGTGCCTTTTCTGACTACTAATTGCATAAAAATTGTTTTTTCATACTAGAAAATTCCTAAAATGTGTTTTACACAGGTACAGTAGTGAGTATTTTTGAAGCAAAGGCACTAAAATCAATCTTTTTAAACATTTGCCAAAAGTCTGTGGCATTTATAGGAAATAAAATATTTGCTTGAACAATATCTTCCTACTTTCAGAATGTCACTATTTAAGATTTGAGGTGGGTCTTTTGGCAACTAGGAATAGACTGCACATTATCAATGGTTCATTCTTGCTGGTACTAATTTTGGAAATCCTCAGAGGATATGATGAACCACTCAACTATGACTTTTTTTGTGTGTTTTCTCCTCAGAGTGAAATACCAGAGCTACAGGTGTGGTATACGAAGCTTGGAAAACCATCTACGAGATTTCTTTTTAAACAACTGGATTCTCTATGGGTAGTTTTAAAATAAATTCCTATATTTTGAGCATTGCAGATAGTAAAAGAGACAGACATTTGATTAATGAATTAATAGTTTTTAATTTTATAATTGATTTTATGACTGAAGTATAATAGAGCTAAAGTTGTCCCCAGCTGTTGTTTTTTTAAAATAGAAATCCTCCTCAAGGCATAATAGAAGTGTGTGTGTTTATAGGTGTGTTTGCTCTTAGCATTTAGTTTGTTGGCTTGCCCTTGCCCTTGGCTGCCCAAGTCAGAAAATTGAGTTTCATCTGAGACTGTCTTTCCCGCCCACCCTCTCTTTGTATACCCCCATTGGTCAAGTCCAGAGCATTCTATCACCGACGTGTTTCTCTTACACATTCCTTATTCTCCATTCCCACTGCTACTGCTTATTTCAGTTCCTTATTATCTCTCTCCTGGATTTTGGAAACTACTTCCTGTTTTTCCAGCCTCTAATGTGACTCTGTCTGGCCACCCATTACACTGCTACTAGAATGATGTGTCTAAAATGCAGATCTGAGTTTTGTCAATCCATTGCTCAAAGTCCCCCAGTGATTTTTCCTGTGAATTCACATCCCTTAGCATAGCACGCGATCCTCGTTACCACCTCATGAGGTAAAAGACTGCTTTCATTTCTCGATGCATGTTCTTCTACTAATGTGGCCTGTCCTCACAGACCAAACTTCTTGTCTTTTTCAGAGCATGGCATGTCACTTTACTCATCTCTGTGACTTTGCACTTGCTTCTTCCTTCTCCTAGAATGCCTTCTCTTCATCTCTTTGTTGTTCTTCAAGACTCAGCTCAGGTGCTGCTTCCTGTGAAGCTTTCCCCACCAGTCCTAGCTCATAGCCACCTAGGAATAGGTGCTTACCTAGTTAAGCATTTTCCCCACTACACTGGGCACCTTGAGGATTGGGGCCCTGCCTTCTTTAGCTTTTTACCTCAGGTCCCTGCTATCACGCTTAGCACATGGTAGTTCCTCAGGAAACGTTTCAAAGAATGTGAATTGGTCCAAGTGAACACATTACTTCACCTAATTGACACAAATCTACTTTTCCTGGAAATTATTAATGTTCTGTGAATCAACTAGTTGCTATCAGTGATTGAACACCATTTCTGTATTAAATTCTAAAAAAAGAGCAGTCTGCTTTTTGCACAACAAATTGCTAGAAATAGCACATTAAAATCAATTTTCCCCATAAGGAATATATCATTTGGGGTATTACCTGAGCCAGAATATGGTGCTACGTATTTCATAGATCTGACCAATAATTTATTATTAAAGCAAAGATACGGTATAAGCCCCTTGAATTCAAAGTAGAAAAAAAACTGCTCAAATTTCCTAAAATGGGCATACATCTAATGCCTACATTAATTATGCAGAGGATTCTAGTGTCTTCAGAGGTCTACATGTAGCATAGAACAGCTGTGATATAGGGAGTGTTTCTATAGAGAAGGTCATGCACTGAGCAAAGCACTTTATACACAGTATGTTGTTTAATCCTTGCAACAGCCCTAGGAGGTATGTATTTTTTCCCCTCATTTTGTGGCGAAGTGGCTTAAAAAGATGAAGCTGCCAAAAGCATAAATGTGACATAAACCTAATCTGCTAATTGAAATATATATTGAACATGTCAGAAGTAGGACCTTTTTTTTCTTTTCTTTTTTTTTTTTTTTAAGATTTTATTTATTTGCGAGAGAGAGAATGAGAGACAGAGAGCATGAGAGGGAGGAGGGTCAGAGGGAGAAGCAGACTCCCTGCTGAGCAGGGAGCCCGATGCGGGACTCGATCCCGGGACTCCAGGATCATGACCTGAGCCGAAGGCAGTCGCTTAACCAACTGAGCCACCCAGGCGCCCGGACCTTTTTTTTTCTTAATAGTAAAAGGTTTTCTGTGATTAACAGCTGAGTCATCAGTGAGATTTTATGGATTTTTCTCCCTTAGTAAAGTCCTAAAAAGTAAATAAGCAGATCTCTTATTTATGTGTATTGAATATAAAGAGGCTCTGAGGAGCTTACAGTGTAATGGCAAAGAATAGACAAATAGAAATTTTGGTGTCCTCTAGTCCTCCTTCCCTCCACAGAGGGAAATTCTTTTAAAATCCTATCTACAAAGTATAATTTTATAAAGTCTTCTAAATAAGGAAAAAGACCCCCAAGGCCTTGATTTTGGGTGTGGCCTTCATGAGTGGTTATGAAGTTTTAGCAGAAGTGAGTCTGGCTTTTCTTTAAGTTGATTTTTCAAGAAGTTGATTTTGCCCAGATGACATGAGCCAAAGCACCTGGCTTTGACCTCCGCATTTTCGTTTTCCAGCTTCTCGACAGCAGTGGCACCTTCACCCTGGAGCTGCAGGAGGACGAGCTCTTCACGCTCACCACTCTCACAACCGGGGGCAAGGGCAGCTACCCGCTGCCTCCAAAGTCCCAGCCCTTCCCACGAATTTATAAAGATGATTTTGATTTTGGTAAGTTTTGTTTGTTTTTACTAAAACTTAGTGTGGTTTCCATTTCCAGCAGTAGTGGGTAGATTTCTACCTGTCAGACGGGTGTGTGATGGAACACCTGTAAAGTGTAGCTCTGAACGTCCAAATGGTAACTGAGACCTCATTTTGGTATTTCCTCAAGGAGACTCTCAGCTTGAGAGCCCTGTATTTTTCAGCGCCAGAAAAAACATAGAAGTCATTGTCAGAATGAAAGCTATTGGTTTTGGTGAAGCTTAAGGTTTGTGACCCTGCCACTGCCCTGTTACCCACATTCACGAAAGCCATTCCTGGTTTCCTCCATGAGTGTGGAGGTCAAGGTCCTTCACTTTCTGCAGGGCTAGTGGACTGCGTGCTCAGGGCAGTTATGCTCCCCTTGGGTGCTTCACCTCATTATCTACCCGGGCATTTTATACTTGCACTCTCCTGGTTTTCCAGGAAGATCTGTCCTAAAGCTGCAGAAAAGCTTTTGATTTTAGGTAATGTAGGAAAACTGCTTGAAAAGTTGGGACGCACCGTCCTTGTGGGTATAACCCCAGATCACTCAGTACGTGCCAGAACTTGTTGACCAGGAGACTTACAGCTTCTGGATCTCACAGACAGGGTCAGATGGCCCTCTTCTTTGCTCCTCAAATCCGCAGCTGTAGGAGAGAAGCAGGGAGGGGGACTGCCATTGAGAGCACTCTTGAACCTCCTGTCTGCAGGGCTGCTCTTTCCAGCATGGCTGGTTGGAGACTCCTGCTACCCCCTCCCAGTCACCCTCACAGTTGCAGGGTCTCCGCTCCCTTTCCCCAGAAGGGATATCTTGGTTAATTGCAGTATAAGGCCCTTTGGACTGTGTACTGGAGTCCTCTCGGTTATTTGCATAACACGGACAACAGGGACCCTCGGGGCTCTGTGCTTTGTTTTCTTGCGATTCTCTAAAGTGGCCTTTTAGATGAATCCATGAATTATGCCACCAGGAATGTCTTTGCAATCTGTTGCTCACTTCGGTGTTGGCCAAGGTAATTCCTCTTGTCTTCAGTAAAGGAGTCTGTGTGGGATATGGCCTAGTTAACAAGGGGGAAGTTCCCCCAATACCAGAATTACTTATTCTATGACCTGAAAACTGAAAGGCAATTCTAAACCTTCAAATCTAAAGTATAATGCTTCATTGACTACAAAATAAACTAAAAACTCTAAGTCAGGCCGTAGCACTCCTTTACGTGGTTCTTAATTTCTCAAATGATGAACATGAAAACACTTAGAAGAGCATGAAGTGTGAAATTAGGTGTAAGATTATGACTAAAATTGCTCTTCTATAGCCTTTGTCATTCTAAGACTGATTTAATTTAATAAAACTAAAAGAAAAGATTGATAGATAGCTTAGGCCCAACTGCTTTTGCTTCATTTTAGAAATAGAAGAAAATTTGTAATTTGTAAATTCTATAGTTGTTATAGTGAGGCTTTTCTAATCTTCTGTCAGCTGATGACTGTGACCAGGGATGTAGAACCTTTTTTGGCAGATACTAGAAATAACAAAACTATCTCTTATTGAGCCCTGGCTAGGTGCTGGTTTATGTACACACTTTACATGCGTTCTTTTATTTAATTCTCTTGTCCTCATGCCCAGTTAGAAAGGAGGGTACTTGAGACACAGGGTAGTTAAACAACTTGGCCAGGAGGACAGACTGAACTAGAATTTAAACCTTGGGTCTGCCTTTCTCTAAAACTCATGATCTTTCCTCTTATGCAGTTGCAAGGATTAAATATGTAAAGTCTGTCTATCAAACTGATCATGTTGGTATTGAGTAATAATGATGATACAAAAATCAATCTCTTTATTAACCTAACTCCTAAACTTCTGCTTGTTATAAGTATCATTTACTTATTTAGGACTTTTCAAAAGTGTTTCAATATATGCCATAAAATATCAGAGAGGAGGATTTTATACTAACCAGAGAATTTAATTGTGTTCTGAACAGATTACCCATTTTTTAGTGAAGCTCCGAATTTTGCTGATCAGACTGGCGTCTTTGAATACTTTACGAACATTGAAGACCCTGGAGAGCATCGCTTCACGCTACGCCAAGTTCTCAATCAGCGGCCCATTACTTGGGCTGCTGATGCATACAACACCATCAGTATTATAGGAGATTACAAATGGTATATAAAATTGGTGTCCTTAATGTAGATCTAGCTGAAATAACCTTGTAATATTGTCAGGTACATTCTGAAGTGAAGACTTTTCAATGGTCTTCCTTGTACAAGAACTAAATGGGTGTGTGGTAATTGTTGAATGTCATGGCCACAAGCCAGCACGTGGTTATGCTGCCTCAGTGTCCTTCCCTCAGATTTGCCCAGTTTAATAGTGATTGCTACAGGAACAGATTGCTTTTAATATAGAAATTGAGGACTTTTGGATCCAGTTATAATTTAATACTTATTTATAAACAGGCTTTGTGATTTCTGTGTTGTTTTTGGTGTTGCTGGAGAGTTGATTTATTGATCTGGTGTTGCCACCTGCTGGATCCATTCTAGACTTACACCGTTTCAGCCTTCGTAGAAAATCTATTTGCCGGGTGACGGTAGATGGCAATAGTGAAAAGCAAATCAGCTTTTACTTGGTGAGTGAATTCAGCTCTTTTCTTCAGGCATTTGTTCAAGAGACAATGCGTATTTATTCTACACTTAAAACATAATGACAAACCAAAACTTCACCTTCCCTATTAAGTCAGTTGTGGGATTCTCATGTACTGACTTATTATACCTGTTTCAGGTGTTTCTTTTTTATTTTTTCTCTTAACTAGTATAATTCTGTAACACAGAAGTCAAGCATTCCAGGTTTAGTGGTAGTAACTGTTAACGCGAAGTCACCAGGCAGCCGTATCTATTACTTGGAAATTGGACCGGGCAGGGAAGGTAAATCTGAAAAGAGTCTTGACTTATTTATCTGTGGAATGCTGCACAAAGTCTTTATCCCTTCTCTATTGCCTTTCTCCCTATTAGAAATCCCAAATTCTAGTTCTAAGCTCTGCTGTAAGTCTTGAGACATTTTCAGTTACCCGGTTTCCGGAACCTGTACAGTACCATGGAGATTTATGGGTACAATGAAGAATGCTTGCCTAATTTAGGATAACTTTGCTGGCTTGTCTTTTTATACAGCAAAAATGCCATTTATCCCACATCTCTGTAGTAGACACTTTACCTTGGATTTTCTGATCGTGCCAGTGGGATGTGTGGTTTTTCATTTGCTACCTATGGTCTTATTATGAGACAGGTGGCTGGGTTTACTGGTCTAAGGGATGGGCCCCATTATTTTGGTTACCAGTTTGGAAGCCAGCCACCATAGAAAACCTTTAAGTTTCTGCAACAACTGTTATCCTCCTTGCTTGTGAATACTACAGAAGAGTGGCTTTCCCTGACAAACTCTTATTTCTGGCTGGGACTCTAGAAAAATCAAGAGACTCTTTAATTGTAGTAGAGAGGGGATAGAGCACTATTCAAAGAGTAACCAAACAACTTTATAACTTTGAAGATTTTGCATTATTTAAGTAGTAATGATCATCTTTACTGCTGCAGTGGGTAAGGGAGTGGGAGGGGGAAGCGGGGAAAGAGGGAAAGAGTGACATGGTTTGAATGAGAAAGAATGAGGAAAGAGCAGCGATACCCTTCAAGAAGGGACTATTTTCATCTTTCTTAGCCCTGCTTTCATTGTGCAACCGCCTGCTCGGGAATATGCAGTGACTGTCTCCAGCAACCCAGTCAGATCTACACGTCTATGCCTGACTTCCAAGACCCTTTCACATTTGGGCTCTTCCTATTTATTACGTTCTATTTCCCAATATTTGGGGATCTGTTCAGAGATCCCCACATGTGCCATGCTCATTTCTGTTTTCTGGCTGCAATCCCCCCTTACTGTAGGGAAAGGAGGGAGTGAAAACTCGATCATACTACCTACGGGTATGAGCCTCCCATAACTACCGATGGCAGAGTTATCATCCTCCCCACCTTATGGATTGGGAAACCAAGGCTTGAGGGTAAGATTTACCCAAGATCCCATACTTGTAAGTTCTAGAACTGGGGCGAGAGGCCAGGACTGTCTGGTGCTTAGCTTAGCCCATACCCTTGGGACTACCACCTCACAGTTTAATCATTGTCTCATTCCTAAGAGGAGGAGAGGGAGGATGAGGGTGGTTTACCTGTAGCGCTATTTTAAAGTCGGCTCTCAGTGTGCACATACTGTCATCAGTTCTTAGGATGTGTTTGCAGGGGGACTTCCTCGATCATCCTTAGATTTAGTTAAGTACCAGCACAGTAATTGGACTATAGAGGGTAGACTTTCCCAAAGGTACTCAAGACTTCCATCTTGTTAGTAAGCTTTGGTTGGGACCTGAGGACAATCACAAAATCACAGAATTACCTTTCACTGCACACATCCAAACTCTGCATCCTTTTGGTTAAATTTACTTAATGTACTGGCCAGTTTTTGTGTCCTCAGCACTACCAAGAGATTATGACTCTGGAAGACGAGACCACACTTTTATTCTGTTTCATTCATTGTCTTCGAAATCGTCTGCAAGTTCTGATGTGGGAATATTTATTCTGGAAAGGGATGTAAAAAAAGGAGGTTAGATCTTCTCCCACTCTGACTCTAAATAGAGTAAGTTTCTGGTGCTGACAGTTCTTACACTTCCGATGAACCAGAACAGAGGGAGGGGATGTATGGAGCAATGTTGATCCCTCATGGTTTCCTGCTGGGGACAGTCTACAGAGAGAAAAGCTCCCTCTACTTGGGAGGAGGTACAAGACAGATTGGGCTTTAGTTAACTTTGCATCTGATTTTCCTGTAAAGTAGCCCAGCTTTGATTAGATGATTCACTGTGGATTTTCCGGATTGTTGCACGTCTGTTGTAGCTACTTCTTTTTTTTATATTTTTCTTTACAAAGTAAAATCTTATTGTGCAAAATTCACTGATAAGAAACTGAGAAATATAAAAGCCACATCATTCTAGGTCTCTTTTCCCCCCATTTCCAAAATATATTTCTTGACATTCTTAGTTATATTTTAGGTAAATTGCTCGCTTTATTACTTGGCTTTGTGCAGGCTTTCTTTCCTGTTTGCAGTTAGAGTTTGAGTAGGAGGTATATTATTTTCAGAGATCATGTAGGTTTGGGGATGGTTGTATCATTGCAGAAGGCATCTAGTAGCATTTATAAGAGAAGCCTGGAGCAGAGCTCACTATTAAAGCTCTAGTAGTTTCTGGTTGGCTGAATTTTCCCCCTCCTTTGATGTACCCCTGTCAATCAGTAATGGCAGGCAGGGTTTTACTGTCCCTGTATGGACAGAGATGCTCCGTAGGGGAAAATGGCTCTCAGAGTAGGATTCCTGGACCAGGGGCACCAGCATCACCCGGGAATTTGTTAGACAGGCAGATTCAAGAGCCCCATCCCAAACCTACTGAATCAGACACTGTGGGGTGGGGCGAACAGACTGAATTTAATAAGCCCTCCAGGTGATGTCAGTGCTGTTCAAATTTGAAAACCTGCTGTAGAGTCAATATAGAGTTATCTCTGTGTTTGCAGAGAAATAATTTGAGATCTTTCTTCTGGAGTTTTTAAGTCTTGGTAGGGTTAAAGATAAAAATTAGCCCCAAAGTAGCTTATGTTCTCCTAGGGGCCCCTAGCTTTGCCTACACTGCTTCTCTTAGCTGATGGAAATTTAATAAACTTTCTTTGTTCTGAATTGAATGGATCTTTTATGTATTCCTAGGGAAAAAAAAAAAAGCCTTCTTTTAACATTATATTCTTAGGATGAGAAGTTGTTTTATTGTAGAGAGACAAGAAATGTGTTGAGACTTAAAAACAATAAATATTATTTTCCAGTAACATTAAAAGAGGCAATGAAATGACTTAACTTCAGCCACATAAAACTTAAAACTGTCATCAATGAAGATATTTTTTTTTCATCACTGAAGATTCTCGAAGCCCATCCCTGCTATAAGCACAGACTTAGCAAATCACATACTCACCTCAGTTAGAAGTCTGGAAGCGTGTGGCTGTGAAGGGACACGTTTGTGCGGCATCTGGAGCAGTACAATTAAGAGCGCTAACGAACAGTTTCATTCTGCAGGTCCAATCTGACTGTAACGTGTGATGTTTACATAGAGACTCCTGAGAAGGGAGGCGTGTTCATTGCCGGAAGAGTAAACAAAGGTGGTATCTTGATTAGAGGCGCCAGAGGAGTTTTCTTCTGGATTTTTGCAAATGGAACCTACAGAGTTACGGGTGATCTAGGTAAGTGACTTCTTCTGTAGCACATGACTCGCTATGAAATATGCCACGGTGAGCTTGTCACTTACTGTGTAATGAGAGAGCTTTACCTCAAGGGGCTTGTACGTCTAACTGCGAAGAGATGCAACACATGTAAGCACATGCAACACATGTAAATGATTCAAAATTGGAGAGTTAATTAGAGAGGCAGCTGGTTAAAGGAAATGGTGCAGAGTTTTTTCAGGTAGAGCCGAGCTAGGCTGTCAGGGTAGGATTTGCATAGATTGGGGTGAGGTGGATGTATAGGGACAGAATGGCCAGGAAACCCCATTAATAAAAAGCAAGACTGCAAGAGTGTGCTAGTGTGCTTATGGAAATACAAGGAGAAGGATGGGTCTGCTTTAAATGGAGAAATCCTGTTTCCCAACTTAGTTAATAACTTGAAAGCAGCTTGACTTTTTTCCATTCATCTTAAACAGCCCTTGTCTTATGTAGAATAGCGTTTTATCCAGGATAGGTGCTTAGAATGTGTCCGTGTAGAATTCTGTCCAATTCACTTTGGTGTTAGTACACCCCGCTCTGTTGAAACAGACCGTATTGGGGCTGCGTCTTCTTGATTCCTCGTCTCTTGGCTTCCCCCTGCATTTGTAAAAAATCTTCTCTCCTATAGTTTGCTACTCTTTGCCTCTTCCTAAGGTGGAAAGGGCTCCACAAGTAATAAAGAGTGGGTTATAAGGACACTAGAGTAAGATTGCAAAATCATAGCATGACCCATCTAGAATGTTCCTCAGTAATTGCCCAGTCCAATTGATTTTCCCAAAGGAGAGGTTAATTGAGAGGTTAATTGATTTGCCCAAAGTCTCAAAATGAGTTAGTAGCAGAACTGGAACCAGCAATTTACATCCAGGTCTTTAGTCCCCACTGTTCTTGTGTTTTAAACTGCCCACTCAACATCTTATTCTGGTTTCTTTCAGGCATTCAAATATAATCTATCCCCAAATTAACTCACTGTTTTCTCTCTCTAATTCTCAGTTCATGCTATTCCCATGTAACCAGTTACGCCAGCTAGAAATCTTATAGTGACCTTTGACCACTACTCCTTATTCTTTATATCCAATCCGATCGAGCGTAAATCTACGCCTGAACTGTAGAAGTTAACACATTATACTGTGGTTGGTTTGTAAGTTCATGTCACTGGTTCTCCTGTGAGCTCACATATGATATATGACTCAGAGTAGAATCCCAATACATGCTTGTGGAATGCATGCCTGAATGAAGGATGTTTTGTTTTAAATCAGTGGTAGATCTGGAAATGCAGATCTTTATTAAGGCTTACTTTACTACATACAAATGCTGCCTGAGAACCCCAACTGAGCTATGTAATTCTGTAATTTCAATTTTAAAAATATATCATGTTAGGATAATCTTTTTGTGTTGCAGCTGGATGGATCATATATGCTTTAGGACATGTTGACGTTACAGCAAAAACTTGGTATACACTCACATTAATTATTAAGGTAAGTATTGCTGATCGGAATGCCTGGAGGTAAAATATTCTTTTCTTATGCCTTTCTGGCATTTTCTGTTATCAGATGAGAGGGGAAAAGTGTGATGAATATAGTAATGGAAACAGGCAGAGAATCTGCCAGGATATCAGCAAACCAGCAGACCCCAGGGTGATACTGTGTGTCAGGGTAAACCCGCATGAGAACCACCAGCTATTGACTTTATCACTCCGCAGTTTTTTAAAATTTTGGTTCTGTTTTTTAAACTCAGGGGTAATTGGTAGATAGCCAATAATTGAATTATTTTTTTCCAAGTTGGCTGAACCAAGATTATAAATTGGAGCCTATAAATTTATTTCTGGTGGCTGAGAGTAACTGTTGGCGATAAGTACAATTTTTTAGAAGTTGGTTTCCGTGAATACTTTTGTCAAAGAAGATACCAGATTAATTGTAGGATCATGGCATCTAAAAATATTTGTCAAAATCCCTGGGCGATCATGAGTTATTGATGGACATGCATCCAAGGGATACTGTGTAGAAACTTCTGTGTAATGCACTGCTGCTGTCTGGCAATATGGTTCTTCTGTAAGTTGGTGTAGGTTAGGGGGCACCTGGGTGGCTCAGTCGTTAAGCATCTGCCTTCGGCTCAGGTCATGATTCCAGGTCCTGGGATCGAGCCCCGCATCGGGCTCCCTGCTCGGCGGGAAGCCTGCTTCTCCCTCTCCCACTCCCCCTGCTTGTGTTCCCTCTCTCGCTGTGTCTCTCTCTCTGTCAAATAAGTAAATAAAATCTTAAAAAAAAAAAAAAAAAAGTTGGTGTAGGTTAGAATAGCAGTTAAACATGGAAATCAGGTAACTTTTTCAAATTGTTCTCATCTCTTACCCAACCACCCAAAATGACAATACACGTTTTTCAGGCAGTAACAATATGTTCTGAGCATCTGGTTTGGGTGTGGCGTTGTGTATTTAACTCGGCCACACTCGATGGGCCCAGCTTTGTGCCCAGTTCTTCCCTTTCATGGCAAACAGAGGTGGTCTGGGCTGGCTTTACTTGCAGGTGGAGGGGAGGGTCTTTTACGTGCCTCTTGGGGCGCACATGTGCTGGTATTTGATTAGGCAGATAATTAGAAATGGAATTGCATTTTGAATTTTGACAGATCCTGCCCTATTGCTAGCCAAGCTGTATCCATTTTATAGCAGTTATAATAATATTTGATACTACCTATTTTTTAAAAAAAGATTTTATTTATTTATTTGACAGAGAGAGACAAAGCGAGAGAGGGAACACAAGCAGGGGGAGTGGGAGAGGGAGAAGCAGGCTTCCTTGCCGAGCAGGGAGCCTGATGCGGGGCTCGATCCCAGGACCCTGGGATCATGACCTGAGCCCAAGTCAGACACTTAACGACTGAGCCACCCAGCCTCCCCTTGATACTACCTATTTTTTTTTTTTTAAAGATTTTATTTATTTATTTGAGACAGAATGAGAGCGAGAGAGAGCATGAGAGGGGGGAGGGTCAGAGGGAGAAGCAGGCTCCCCGCCAAGCAGGGAGCCCGATATGGGACTCGATCCCGGGACTCCAGGATCATGACCTGAGCCGAAGGCAGTCGCTTTAACCAACTGAGCCACCCAGGCGCCCCGATACTACCTATTTTTAAGGATTGTTTTTCAAACTAATTGATATGATTTATATTTCCTTGATAATGAGGGAGCTTGCACCCCTTATGTTTATTGGTTATTTGTATTTTTCTCTCTTCTCTGAAGTTACCCATTCATATTCTTTCCTCATTTCTTACTGTTTTCTTTTTCTGATGGATTCATATGAATTTATTATATATTCTGAGTAGTGACCCGTTGTCTGTTACGTATGTCACAGATATTTTCTTCTGTCCTGTCATGTGTATTTTAATTTTGCTTATGGTATGTTTCATGAATAGAAGTTTTAAATTTTGGTTCTGTCAAATATTTCACTTTTTTTTTTTTTATTGTTTTTGTGTTTTATTTAAGAAGAACTTCACCTTTCTCAAGGTGAGGAACATTTTTTGTTCTCTAAACTAAACCAAGTTTAGGATTTTTTTATGTTAAAGTCTTTTTATTTTTATTTTTTTAAAAGATTTTATTTATTTATTTGACAGAGAGATCGAGAGAGAGCACAAGTAGGCAGAGCGGCAGGCAGAGGGAGAGGGAGAAGCAGGCTCTCTGCTGAGCAGGGAGCCCAATGTGGGGCTCGATCCCAGGACCCTGGGATCATGACCTGAGCTGAAGGCAGATGCTTAATCGACTGAGCCACCCAAGCGCCCCTGAAGTCTTTTTTTTTTTTAAAAGATTTTATTTATTTCGGGGGGGAGGGGCAGAGGCAGAGGAAGAGAGAGAATCCCAAGCAGACTCCCCACTGAGCACGGAGCCCCCACATGGGGCTAGATCCCAGCTGAAATCGTGACCTAAGCTGAAATAAGAGTCAGACGCCTAATCGACTGAGCCACCCGGGTGCCCCCATGTTGAAATCTTTAATATATCTGGAATTTACTTGTGAATCATAAGGGGGAAGAGCCCAGTATAATTTTTTTTTTAAATAAATGGATAGCCATCATCATTTATTACATAGACTGTCCTTTTGCCTATGATTTAACGGCCACCTTTTTGATGTAACAAATCATCACATGTGCATAGGTTATTTCTGAACTTTGTTCTTTATATTGCTTTGTCTTTTATTATCCAAAATCTTTGATTACATAGTTTACTCCCTTACTTCCTTCAGGTTCTTTCCTGACTACCTTGTATAAAACAGCCCCCATCTTCCTTTCTGCCCCTCTTCCCTTAGGGAATGAAGTGAGTGTTGTTAGCAGTAGGGATTTTTTTTTTTTAAGGTTTTATTTATTTATTTGACAGAGACACAGCGGGAGAGGGAACACAAGCAGGGGGAGTGGGAGAGGGAGAAGCAGGCTTCCCGCCAAGCACGGAGCCTGATGCGGGGCTGGATCCCAGGACCCCGGGATCACGACCTGAGCCGAAGGCAGACGCCTAACGACTGAGCCACCCAGATGCCCCAGCAGTAGGGATGTTTGAACCAGGCAGACCTGTGTGCATACTTCCTTGCTGACACCTGCTAACTTCCTGCAAGTTAGTCACCTCTTTGAGCTTCTGTTTCCTTATCTGTAAAAGGGGGATAACTTCTGTAAGGTTGTTTTAGGGTTAATGTTTTTATTCTTTCATTTAATACATGTCTATTAAGCACCTTGTATGTATACTTTACTAGGTGCTAGGGATGCAGCAGTGAACAAGACACACAAGGTTCCTGCTCTTCTAGAGCCTGTATTCTTCTAGGACACAGGTTGGCAAAGTCTTTATTTTAGGCTTTGTGAGCCATCTGGTCTGTGCAACTTTGCTCAACTCTGCTTGTGTCGTGAGAAAGCAACTACAGACAGTAGATAAATGAATGTGTGTGGCTGTGATTCCAATAACATTTTATTTGTAAAAATAGGTGGCTGGCCTGTGGGCCATAGATGGCTGCCTCCTGTTCTAAGACAGTAAAAAAACAAATCAGTCAATCAAATTGTGAAGAAAAAAATGGGACAATGAGACAAAGTAGCTCCCCTGTCTGGATTCTCTAGGTGGAGAGACCAGGGGAAGGGCTCTTGAAGTTGGTGCTCTTTGAGCTGAGATGTGCCTGGTGGGAGGAGCACTGGGCAGAGGACGCTGCTAGTGACTGGCCTGGTGTGAGGAGCAGCCTGGAGGGCGCCCCCAGCAGGCGGCCGTGGGGAGGGGATGAAGTGCAGCTAGGCTGTGTGACCTTGTATTGGCTCAGTGTTAATAGTCCCTATTGGCCCCTTTGAGGGCTGCAGAGAGCTGCGCATGTATATGGCAGTGGGAATGTGAGTTCCCTGAACGTGGAGTTGGAGAACTAAGATTCAGGTTCTAGCTCTGCTGGTGAATCTATGATTTTGACTTTTAGTCTCACATCTCCGTATCTCCCTCCATAAGATGAAAGAATGAAATTAAGGCCCATTGCATTGTAATTCTGTGACTTAAAAACAGATTTTATTTTGGTCCTTAGCCTAGTGCTTTGGATCTTTAGCTCTTTACCCTTTGAAATTAGCTACTTGTAAATGTTTAGCTGCAATTGATATGCTGTGAATATATGCTCATACACGTGCTAGAATAATGATAATAAGAGCTAGTGTTTATTATCTGCTGTATGCCAGGCACTTGGCTCTGCAGGAATGGCAGCTGTCTGAGGAAGTTATGTTTATCTTTCTCTGTCAGTGACCAATAAGTCATTTCTATAGATATTTTCCCTTCTTACCCCCTGATCTCCCCCCACCCCAATCATCAGTTTAACTGATGGTTACTATTTTTCTAACCTAAGGGTGGGCTCTTCGTGTGACTTTGAAGTGATATTCTGTACATGGGGACAAAAAGGACTTCAATAAATGGATGCTCTGGCTCCAGGAGCCACATCCAAAGAGCTGGTGGCTGTTAGACAACGTGTGTGCATGCAAGTACTTGTAAATTACAAATGTTTATTTTAGTGGGCTTTTGTCTAAAACTTTATGATGCTATGGAAAGTTTTACATTTCTGTTGGTTTTACAGCATCTCGGTGGGGTACAAGGAAATCCTGAGGTCTTCCTTGTGCCTTGAAAACTTTTTACATATGTAGATAAGAATTTCCTCTAAGAGAATTTTTCCTGTGTTTCCAGCTTTTGCTCAGACTGTGGAATTGTGTTTTGCCATGGTCTGAAGTGAGAAGGATGTTTGCTCCACTGACTAGATTGGCCGTACATATTAAGAAATGGACCTCAGAGAATCACTTTTATACGTCTTCAAGGGGTGCGTTTGTCTTTCCTCCAGGGCCGGTTCTCCTCTGGCATGCTGAACGGCAGGTATGTCTGGACGAACATCCCTGTGAGTTTCCCGAAGAATGGCTGGGCTGCCATTGGAACGCACTCCTTTGAATTTGCACAGTTTGACAACTTTCATGTGGAAGCCACAAGCTAATATTCACGGAGCACCATAGAACCACTCTCTGGGTTTTCTTTCTTTCTGGTTTTGGTTGAGAGCCAGTTCTTTTGATGGATCAATATATGAGCCTCTTGGAGGCCAACAATAGTGAAGAGTAAATGGGGAGAGAAATACATGTTTGCTTGATCTTCTGGAAGATATTTTTAGAACTAGTGCCCAGGGAAACCGATGAATCTTGAACATGACCTGATATGTCCCCTAAAATTCAAGCTGTGCAGCGGTCCTCTTGTGAGGCGTGGTTTGGGTGGTTCACACCTCGAAGGCTTGGCACTGATGCTGAGCTGGCTTTCTCCATCGCACGCGCAAGGGATCGTGTGGACGGCAGTAACCCGATCATCACAGACCGACTGTGTGTCTGAGTGAGTGGATGGCCTTGTCCGGAGGTCACACCACACCGTAGGGAGCTGAAGAACACTGGAAGTGCTGCTTTTTGAAAACCACTTCAACACATTAGTCTTAACACTCTAAAGAGTATTTTTTCTTTTCCTTTTTACGATGATGCTTTTGAATTATAGATATGATGAGTGGATGTGTCGTGATTGCAAAAATGCCTCACTAATAAACTACCTCTAAAGCTAGTCCTGCAGTAATCGATATGAGCAGATTAATTGGGTTATCTGCAGTTATTAATTCTTTTAAATCCAGCCTTTAGTCTTGTAACCCTTAAGACTCTCTGTGAACATTTCCCCAGGTGGCTGGAAGGAGGAAGAAAATCCCACATAGCCAGTGCTTTCCGTGGGTCTACAGATGAAGCTGGAGCAGTTTTCTTGTGTCTCGTGTCGTGGTGCCTCTCGCGGCCTTCTTCTGTGCTGCTGGCCATGGACTGACACAGCTAATGCATTCTCCTACCTTTGTGTGGGGAAGAAGGGGCACGCCAAGCTTCTGCTAGCTCATAGAATTGGATCATCCTTTAATATTCAGTGTGGTTAGATGCATTTATTTCATGAAAGTACAATGTGTTTATATTTGAGTGTGGGAGCATATTTCTCATGCAGTATAATTTACATCTAAGCATTAGTAGACCTCCTAGAAACAACTCCATTGTTCATGTCGATAACGTAAATTCTGGAATTCTCTAAAATGAAAGTTCAAAACTTCACTGGACTAATATTAGAATTTTGGTATTTGTAATGGTTTAACATAGGCTAAACTGAATGAAGTTTTGTATGTCTATTAAAGACAACAAGCTCGATATTATAATATATCAGATTATAGAGAAAATTTTTTAATTAAAACCAAGTCTAAGTGATTTCCACTTCAGGTCTCTACAGATTTTTTAAGTTAGCTTTATTGTGGTATAATTTACATACAATAAAATGTTCCCATTTTAAGTATACAGTTAAATGAGTCTTGATAAATGGATACACGCACAAAACCAACACCCCAACCAAGCTATGAACATTTCCATTACCCCAGAAAGTTCTCGTGTTGCACCTGAGCAATAATGTCTTCTCACCTGCCCCCATCTCAGATTTCTGTTGCTACTGATAAGTTTTCATTGTTCCAAAACATTATAGAAGTGGCGTCATACACTATGTACTCTTCTGTGAATGGTTTCTTTCATTCAGCATAATGCTTTTGAGATTTGTCTATGTTGCTATGTGTATCAATGGTTTGCTCCTTATTTCAAAGAATATTCCATTGTATGATTAAACCACAATTTGTCATTCTCTTCCCTCACTTTTTGGAATTCCAAATAAATCTGTTATGGACATTTGTGTACAAGTCTTTGTGTGGACATATGTTATCATTTCTTTTTTTTAAAGATTTATTTATTTTAGAGAGAGCAGGGGAAGGAGCAGAGGGAGAGTGAAAGAGAATCTCAAGCAGACTCCCTGCTGAGTCTGGAGCCTGACTCAGGGCTCGATCTCAGGAGCCCAATGTCATGACCTGAGCTGAAATCAAGAGTCGGACACTTAACCAACTGCATCACCCAGGTGTCCCTGTTTTCATTTAATACCAAAGAGTGAAACTGTTGGCTCTTTTGGGAAGTGTATGTATAAGTGTATAACTTTATAAGAAACTGCCAAACTGTTATCCAAAATGATTGTATGATTTTACACTCCGATCAGAAGTGTTGAGAGTTCCAGTTGCTCCACATTCTTTTCAATGCTTCATATTGTTATTCTTTCCAATTTTAGGTGTGTGGATGTGTAGTAGGCACATGAGATGTTGAGCATCTTTTCATGGGCTCAGTCATTACTCATATATTTTGTGAAATGTCTATTCAGATCTTTTGCTCATTTAAAAAATTGGCTTTTCTGTCTTATTATTGAGTTGTAAGAGCTTTTTTATATATTTCAGATTCATTTTTTAAAGAGATTTTGTTTATTAATTTGAAAGAGAACACATGAGTAAGGGGGAGGGGAGAAGAAGAGGTAAAGAATCCTAAGCATACTCTGTGCTGAGTATGGAGTCCGATGCGGGGCTCGATGTCATGACCCTGAAATCATGACCTGAGCCGATACCAAGAGTCGGAGGCTTAACCGACTGAGCCACCTGGGCGCCCCCGGATGAAATTTTTTAAATCAGATAGATGTTTTATAAATAGTTTTCTCCAAGTCTACAAGAATACAAAATTTTAATTTGGGAGCACATTTTATATTTTTTTCCTTTTATAAAAAAGTAAGTTTTTTTTTTTTTTTTTTTTTTTTGGTGTCCTAAGAAATCTTTGTCTATCCCAAATTCACAAGGATCTTATTGTTTTCTTCTAGAAGTGTTATATTTTAGCTTTTATTTCAGGTCTGTGAACCATTTTGCATTCTTTTTGTATATGCTGAGAGGTGAGGTTTGAGGTTCATTTTTTTTCCTATATGGATATTCAGGGTTTTTTTGAGTATCACTTGTTGAAAACACCATCCTTTGTCAAAAATCAATTAGACTATCTATGTGTACATCCAGAAGTAAACACTGTATTCTATTCTATTGACTTAATGTCTATCCTTAGGCAAATACCACACTGTCTTTATTTCTGTAGCTTTATAGTCAATGTTCAACTCAGTTTAAATCCTCTCAACTTGTTCTTCAAAATTGTTTTGGCTAATATAGGTAAACATAAAGTTTCCGTATAAATTTTAGACTCACCTTATATATTTCTGCAAAGAGCTTCTAGAATTTTTATTTGGGATTACATTAAAATTACAGTTCAATTTGGAGAGGAGGGTTTTCTTACTTGTATCGACCCTTCAATCCATGACATGCTCCACCTCCACATTTTTAGGCTTTCCATACTTTTAGCCATTTCTGTAGTTTTCTGTAGAGACCAGGTTTTGCATGTATTTTAAATTTATCATTAACTATTTTATGGTTTTTTAATGCTGTTGTAAATGATATTTTTTTAAATTTTCAATTATTTGTTGCACATACATTGAAATATAGTTGCCTTTCTTCTGTTGACCTGTAAATACCACTGCTTGTCCCAGCCTTCCTGGGACGGGTGCATCACTGACTGTACCAAATGCTTCTAGTGGCCACACACCACTGGAGCAAGGAGGAAGAGCACCCTGGGACAAGGATGGCAAGTTCCTCTCTGCTGCAAGGGCCCTTCAGTACCTCTATGCTACCTGGCAAAAGAGAAGTTATCACAGTATCACAGAGCAGGTCAAAACAGGGATTGGGGCTGGAAAACCGTAACAGAAGCAGCGCGGTTCCAATTTCTACATTTCTTTTTTTTTTTAAATTTTATTTTATTATGTTACGTTAATCACCATACATTACATCATTAGTTTTTGATGTAGTGTCCAATCTCTACATTTCTTGTGTTAGTTTGGGCCATTTGTGTCTTTCAAGGAATTTGTCCATTTCACATAAATTGCCTAATTTATTGGCATAAACTTGTTTGTAATATTTCCTTATTTTATTGTCTATGTTTCTAATATGGACAATTTGTGCTTTCTCTCTTTTCATCTTTATTAGTAAGAGTTTTGTCAATTTTATCTTTCAAAGAACCAGCTTTTGGTTTCTAAAATATTTTTTTCCTATTTCTTTGTTTTTTGTTTCACTGCTGCTTGTACATCTATTTACTTTGGGTTTCATTTGCTCATTTTCTAGCTTCTTAAGATGTAAGCTTAGATGTTTGGGTTGCGATTTTTTTTTAAAAATATAGACATACAACACTATAAAGTTTTGTGTAAAATACTGAGCAACATCTCATATTTTGATATGTCATGATGTCTCTTTTTTATTCAGTTGAAAATGTTTCCTAATATCCTTTTTATTTTTATTTTTTGACATTTATGCTAATTAGAAGTGTTCCATTTCCAAATACTTGAGGATTTTCCAGATTTTATTTTGTTGTTATTATTGATACTTAATTCTGTTGTGATCAAAGGATATGCTCTGTTGGGTTTCAATTATTTTAAATGTATCTAGGCTTGTTTTATGACCCAATTTATCTTAGTCAATGTACCCTTCAAAAGAGTACACATTCTGCAGTGATTGGCTGTAATGTTTTACAAATATTAAGTCATGTTGGCTGATTGTATTGTTTAAGAATTCTATGTGTTTACTGATTTTCTGTCTACTTGTTCTGTCAATTACTGAGAGAGGAGCATTGAAGTCTCCAGATACAATTGTGCGTTTTCTCTTTCTCCTTCAGCTTTGACAGCTGGACTCTTCTGAGGCTTTTAGAGCTTTGCTAGGGGCCGTCTGGGTGGCTCAGTCGGTTGGGCGCCTGGCTTCAGCTCAGGTCATGATCCCAGGGTTCTGGGATCGAGTGCCGCATCGGGCTCCCTGCTCACTGGGGAGTCTGCTTCTTCCTCTGCTCCTCCTCCCCGCCCCCCCCCCCCAGCTTGTTCTTTCTCTCTCTCTCACAAAAATAAATAAATAAAAATACTTTAGAGCTTTGCTAGGGCACTAGGGTGCTAGGGCACTCCTCCAGGTGTAGTATGGCCCTATTCCCAAGGCAGAGAATTCTCTTGGGGTGGAATGAACACTCTCCACTACAGTTGTTCCAACCTTGACCATCCCCCAGCTCTGTGAGAATCCTGATAGTTGTACAGCTAATGGGACCCCGGTAGCTGTTCTTTCCTTATGTATCCTTTGTCTAGCTCACAGAGTTTTGCTCTATGAATACACCAAGGGAACCCTCTGCCTATGTCTGGACCTCTTTTTCTGCAGAGCTTCCTTCTCTCTGGTGCTCTGCATTGTGTGTCTCAGCCTCCTCAGATTTGGATTTTATCTTCACAGCTCCACAAGCCCACGTTCCATATTTACCCCTGTGTACTGGAATCTAGTAGATGCCTCCAGATAGAAATTGGGGGTCACGGGGTTCACCTCTTTTGTTTCCCTTCTTGCAAGGCTCACAGCCCTGGGCTGCCTATTGTCTAACTCCCTGGAACAGTTTCTTAGAGAGGAAGGGCTGATCCAGTTCCAGTTGTTATTCTCTCATGGCTGGAGATGGAGCTCTCAACCCATTCAATTTAATATTTAGTCTTCATGGACCTTTTCCAAAATCCTTTAACACGAATACTTTGATCACTATCCCATTATGACTTTGATGCTGTTTCACGTGGAATCTTGCTCTTCTCAAGTAGCTTGTAGATCTTGGGGTATGAAGAATGTATCTCATGTTTCTACATTCCCTGTTTCGGGGCTCGGCAAGAACCTGACTTCTGATCAGGTTGATTTGAAACACTGGATTTATATGTGGTGACAGGTAACCATGAATTGTATTTATTGAAGCAGATCCAGCAGAGCCTCTAGATGAAAGCGCTTTGTAAACTGCCAGACTGACTTCACACACTTAGTCCTTTCAGGCTGTTGTAACAAAATACCACAGACTGCATAGCTTATCAACACCAGAAAGTTCTCACTATGTCCTCACACAGTGGCAGGGGCTGGGGTGCTCTCTGAATCCTCCAAGAGCACTCATCCTAGTCGTGTGGGCTCTACCCTCATAACCGAAGCACCTCCAAAGGCCCCACATACATCCCCATTCCATCACAACAAGCATTAGGATTTCAACCTAGAATTTGGACACAAACATTCAGAGGACAGCACATACCTCAAAGTGTGGGGAGCACCATGGTGAGAGTATGGGATTTGAGTCCTAAGGTTTGAGTTCAATGCCAGCTCTGCTACTGATTTAACTTGGGCTAAATCATTTAAGCCTTCTAGATGGAAGCTGCGGTGTGTAAAGCAAAGATCCTAGGCTGGTCACTAAGACACCTTCCAGCCCTTACTCTCTCATTCTGTAACTCGTAAAGCTGCATTTCTTCATTTCATTCAAATCTGGCTTACCCGAAGAGGTAACTTTTTTTCCCCCCCTAAATCACTAATGTTTGCTGCTCATTGTTTCCCAGACTCGAAGATGATCATACAATGCCCTGTATATTTTCATTCTGGCAAAATGACTTCATCAACTGAAATCATTGTGCAAATGGTCTTTTACTTCATTTTAAAGTAATACGGATAAGCCATATTGCAGATTCCATTCTTAAAGGTATGTGATCTGCATAAAAAGGATTGTCTTTATCACTCTTGCAAAACTATTCATAATATTCTTAAGCTATCACGGTGTCCAAACAAGAGGTAATCAAGAGGCATGATTTAGAAACCACAGTGTTCTGGTTTTTGCTCATGGGTAGATTCTTCCTAACACTTGATTTTCTCTTGTCTTGTTAATATTTTACTTTCACTTGAAAGAAAGCTTGCTTTTCTTTGTTTGTCATAAGTATTAGAAGTTGATCATATTATTCTAAAAATAGCCTTTTTTGCTTAATTCA